AAGAGCATAATTGCTACCCCTGCCTTTTTTCTTTCAGCTGAAGCATAATAGATGGTGCTCTAGGCTTTTATTTTAACTCATGTGTGTTTTTCTGCTTCAAGTGTGTTTATTGGAAAGAACCTATTTTTCTCAATCCATTTTGTTTCCATCTTCTGTTTTATGAATGAATACATACCTTTCACATATGATTATTAATTGTACATTTCCCTCTATTTTTTCTGCTTTTCTTTTTCTTGCTTCCCATTCCCTCTTTTAAAGAACAAGAGAGTGATGAGAAAAAGTTTCTCAGTTCCTGAGGACTGAGAGTATATGAGAAAAAAGTGATGAAAAAAAAGAGTACTTTAGGTTTAGTGTAATATGCTTCTGCATCCTCGCCCCTCTTCTCTTTTCTTCATCCGAAGTGGAATAAAAGAGTATTATTCTTTCTTTTAAGCCTATCTTTGAAGTCCATCATCTTTAATTTGAATTTATTTTTCCTAAAACTAATCTCTTCCTTTATCATCACTTATTCTTATTCTTCCTTATACCTATTTCCTATTTAGTTATATGTATTTCCTATTCTATTCTGTGTTTGTGTTTTTCTCTCCTTTGACTCATTTAGATGATTTTCTTCCTATTGCATATTCTTTCTCCTCCCCTGCCACCTCAGTATATTCCTCTTTCCTTCCTTTACATTCTTCTTTTAAGATGATCAAAACGTAACAGAAGCACATCCAGGCCCTCTAATTAAATTCTCTCCGTGACCCCTGAGGATAGGGTTCTGACAGACACGTGTTGTTTTCCCATATTAAAATGTAAACTGTTTAACCTTGTTTAGTCAGTTCTTAAGATTGTTCACTCATTACCTGTTTATGTTCCTCTTGACTCCCAGGGTTTATATTTCAAAGTTTCTGCTTGGCCTTTGTCTTCATCAGGAATAGAAGTCTTATTTTATTAAATGCCCAATTATTCTCCTGTAGGATTATAGTCAGTTTTAGTGGGTGAATCATGGCTATCCTTTATCTTCTAGAATATCATATTCCAAACTCTTTGTTCCTTTATAAGGGTGGCTCACAAGTTTGCATGTGACTCTGACTCTGGCTCCTTAGGACTTTATTTCTTTTTGCCTGTTTGGAATATTTTTTTTCATTAGCCTAGAATCTTTGTTGTTTAAGCTGTAATATTCCTAGGAGTTTTTATTTTGGGGTTTCTTTCTGGAGGTTACTGATGAAATCTTTTTGTTTTTACTTTTTCCTCTAGTTATAAGAGATGTGGGCATTTTTTTCTTTTATGATTTGTTGTGTTACAGTTGAAAATAAAGGTAATCTGAAAGAAAATGGTCTGAGCGTGATCAATCGATTAGTTAGGCTAGTAACCTATAAATTAGGTCAGTGGCCTCTCTATGACCTGAGGCCCTTAGGGTAGGACTCATCAGCTATAATATAGTTTTGGGGAGTACAAAGTTGGGTAGGTGAGGAAGACAATGCGATTGTGGGGATGGGGACAATATAATTGGGTATTTTAAAGAAAGTGGGCTGTGGGCTAGTAACCACCCTCTTTGACAATTAAATAATGTTAATTGTTTATGGGACCCATCCACATCTTGCAGACCTTGTCAGCAGACTTGAGTTTCAGACTTTCTGGTGTCTCAAAGGGTTTTTTACACCACCACTCCTTTAATTACATAAGAATAGGCATATTTTAATTTCATATTAATAATAATTTTGATATTTTTACTAGAAATATGATGTCTAGGCTTTTTTGAGGCCTCATGCCTTTGAGGTAGTCCAGTGATACTTACATTATCCCTGCTTAATCTGCTTTCCAGATTTTTACTTTGAGATCCCTTATATCTTTTATATTTTTAATCTTTTATTTTAATGTTTCTTGTTGTATAGTCTTTTACTTCTCTTTGGTCCATTCTAGTTTTGCATAAGTTTGTTGCTTAGGTAAGATTTTATATCTCTTATGCCAAGCTGTTAGTTCACTTTCCAAGTCTTTCTTCCATAACTCTCAATTCTTTTCCCATTTTTTTTCCTCTTGAGCCTTCATTTGATTTTAAAAATCATTTTTAGCCTTTTCCTTTTTAATTCTTATTTCATCTCTGCCATGAATTCTTGTTTCTTTTGTGCCCAAATTGTCTGGAGTCATTTTTTACTGAGTTTGCATCTTCAGCATCCCAGTCATCAGGAATTTGTGGTAGGATTTTTATTATTATTATTATTATTATTATTATTATTATCATTATTATTAGTTAGCTCATTTTTTCCAGCCTACTTCCTTGTCTTGGACTTTATGTTAGAGCCAGGCTTTGCACACTTATTGGATGGATGTCTGGGTTGAAATTTTGTCTTGGGTCCTTTTACCTCTTTCTTGGTGTATTGAGTCTTGTATCATTCCAGAATCTTGGTAACACCTTAAGCAGAAGACTTACAAGCTTTTAGAGCTCCCCAGTGTAGGCTGATCCAATGCAAGGTGTGATCACTGCCTTTCTGGTCTTAGCCCTGAATTCTCGACCTGAGATTGTATCTGAAGAATATACCTGTGGGCTTCATTATGGTTGGAATTTCCAGGAGACTGCTGTTGGATTCATTCACTATCTGCCAGCTGGAAAGTTTTGCAGGTTCAGAGTGATGGAACTGCAGGCTCCTCTTTGGTCTAGGATTTCTGTCCTGGTTATTCTGCTTTTTGCTTCAGACTGCCTGGAGGCTGTAGCTGAGACCCCACTGGGATCTTGGGATTTAGCACCATATAACTACTATTTGTTTCTAAACTTAGATCTAGCTCAGTACACAGCTTAGGATCTAACACTGCTAATAAAATTGAAAATCTATGCCTACTACAGGGCCTTCTTCAGTCAGCCCCAGATCTGTGACCCAGAACTGGGTGACAGAGTTGCCAGTTGGCACCTGTTACTCCACTTTGCACAAGATCAGTGTCCCCTTGTATGGGTCTGGGACCTCTTGCTGCCCTGGTGCGCACATCCTGCTACACTGGAATGATCTACCCAATTCTCTGTTCCCCTTTGTTGACTTGGGCTGGAAATATGATTCACTGTAATTTTTTTTCTTGGATTTCTGGATAAAGATTCATGCAGGCACATTTTTAAGCTTTTTGTGGAGGAGAGTGTAGGGGACACAGCTGTATTTCTTCATGATAATCATCCGGTTTGGCTTGGCTGAGAAATTTGTTTTCTTTCCCTTCTCTTCCTTCTCTACCTCTAACTATTATCACTTGACTTAGGAGGGCTCTTAATTAAAATCAAGTTACTTTAGATTAATTGTCTTTAACAAGTTATCTTTGAAATTCAAATTCTCCCCCCAAAAATGGCTGTGTGAAATGACATTTCTTGTACTTTTGCTCAGTCATAACTGTCGTCTTAGTATCTTGTAGTGAAGAAAATGCTTATTCCATTAGAGTTATGTCTTTTAACAGAAAGCACCAAACATTTTATTTAGAGAAACTAAAGCTATTTTTATTCCAGACTTAGGAAATAGGAACACTCTCATACAGAAATCCATGTTCTAGCTATAAGATTATAGAATGGAAAGAAAAGGGATTATACATATTTCTCAGGTATGTATGATACTTTTATAAAAATTGAACAAGTTAGGTCCTTAAAACCTTACAAACAAATACAGAAAGGCAGAAATATTAAGCATTAAGCACATCTTTAATAAACCACTTTGCATAATCTTTATTTTGATGAAAAATTTTCAGCTTTTTTCATTGCTTTGTCAATTCTTCTGATTACATCAGTGGGAAAAGTCTCAATTAGTTGCAGATCTTATTTTTCCCCCCTGTTATTTTGTTTAGTATTTAACAGGATATATGTTTAATACATTCTGATTTTCTCCAAGTACAGCTTTTTAGTCTCTTTAACAAAGAATATTTGTACAACTTTAAAAAAAAAACACACACACAACAAAAACACAAGGTAGCAGCCAGGCTAGTGAACACAGAAACAAAATTCAGTTGAATCCATAGCTGTCATTCAATTCTTTTCATTTTAGTTATTTAACTTTTGAAAAAATCAGAATCTATTTGAACATTGTTTTCTTTTGGCACGTATTTGCTCAGAAGTTTTGGAGTGTCTTGGCAACAGTTGGATAGAAGTTAGCTTCAAAAAGTATATTGTATAAGAAGCATGGAATATAGATAGCTGTGATGTAATGGGAAGAATCCTGGTCTGGGAATAAGAAAATCATGTTCTAAATCTGGTTTTGCCAATAATAAGCCCTGTTCCTCAGGGAAATAATTTCTCCTTTCAGGGCCTTTCTTCATCTGTGAAACGAAGAGGTTGGCCACTGTATTTTTACAAATAAAGAAACTGAGGTCCAGGGAAGTTAAATGACTTGGCAAATTCCCATAGGTAGTAAATATCAAGAGGCAGGATTTAAAGCTAAGTTCTCTGAATACAGAGCCAGTGTTGTTTCTATCTGTACTGTCCCTGTGAACTCTGAAGTTCTATGATTCTTTGTTTCTTCATGGAAGAACTCTGTATGGAAATATAGTATGGACCAAAGCAAGTATGTGAGGAAAGCTATATGCCTGGTTTGGGGAGCTGGATATAAGCTGCTAAAGGTATCAGAAATATAGAAGTATTATTCAGACTGTGCCAATTAATTTGATATGCCAAACTGGGATATTCTTAAGATAATAGAGACGGGGGCAGTTAGGTGGTACAGTGGATAGAGCACCAGCCCTGGAATTAGGAGGACCTGAGTTCAAATGCGGTCTCAAAACACTTGACATTTACTTGCTATGTGACCCTGGGCGAGTCTCTTAACCCCATTGCCTGGCCAGAAAAAAAAAAGATAGTATGGACAGTATGAATATGAAAATAGGCTGTCATATTTGACTAGATTAAGATATGATACTGGAATGTGGAATAATAAATTGTCTTTATGTCCTTTGTCATAAAATATTAAATGAAACTAAATTAACAAATTGTTTTGGTTGCTGTTTTCTGCCTCTTCCTCTTTACCTCTCACTCCCCTACCCCCACCCCCCACATCTAGGTAACACCATTTCCAAATACTGGATTTATCAATGGGTTTACATCTCCCACCTTCAAACCTGCAGCATCTCCCCTAACTTCACTCAGACAGTATCCTCCTAGAAACAGGTAAGTCAAAAGACTCAAGTATTTTCCTTCTGCACTCCCACCACTCTCTTCCCCCTCTCTGCCCCTTCCAACCCAAGTTGAATATAAGCTCTTTAATGACAGGAACTATTGCATTTTTGTGTTTCTATCTCCCTGGCACCTGACATATAGTAGTGCTTAACAAAAATTTGAGTTAAATTGAATTTATAGTTTTATTTGTATACTTAAAGTAGAAATAGTATTCTTATTCTTACTCATATAGTTTTCTTAAAGACTTCAAAAATCCTGTAAATGTGCCTGTGTTTATTCTTTAAAATAGAATCCTAAACTTAAAAAGTTAAATGCTTAAATAAGTTAGATGAATGAGGTGCAAATTTTTAACAGTGAAGCTAACAAAAGTTCCTTTTGTATACCAGAAATCATAATCACAAATAATGAAAAGTGTTTAAGGAGGACACTCACACTATTCCATAGAGAAATGGACTTTTGGACTATTTTTTTTAGAAATAGTTGATACTCATATACATGCAAAGGATATGTTAGATACCTATCTAAATGGTGGTTACTGTCCAGCAGTCGCTTCCTGAACACATTTCACTTGTAAATGAATACCTTAAGAACAAAACTCAATTAAAGGAATCATAAAATGTGGTATGGAATTTTTCTATATGGATGGGGGGGAATGTGCTATTTTATGGTGTGTTGACCTTTTTAAATTAAAATACATTTCCCTTGAGAAAGATAATTATTAACTACATTTAACTGTTAGATCTGTGTTGAGATATATTTCAAAAAAACTTGAACAAAGTCTTGACAAGACTACTTAATAGGTTTTCAGTGATAATCAAAGAATTAAAGACATATACAAATAAATTTGCAGGAATCCTAGCAAATCACATCTGCGACATACGCTACCTACTGCAGATAGAAGACCTGGACTATTAGAAAGTCCTACAATATTTAATTTCTCTGCTGACCGCTTAATAAATGGGGTCCGGAGTCCACAAACAAGGCAACCAGGACAGAACAGAACACGGATGCAAAACACTTCAACTTATGCCAAGAGGGATATTGGAATTGGACGAATGGAGCAGAGTAATCTTGAAGCCTCTTCAGTTTTAGGCAGAGGAAGGTAAGTTATATAGAATTAAGTGCACTTCATAGCATGAATTTTTTTCAGTCCAAAAATATCTTTGGATTCTAACTTTTAACCATAACTTAGAACAAAGGATGAGATGTGTGCTATAATAGTACTGCATCATTTACATACATTTGATGTTGTATTGGTCATTCGTTATATCTTGGAAGCTACTGTTTCAGCAAATCCAACTTTTATCCCTGTTGTGCTACCAAACTGCTGTGGTGGAGGAATTTAACCAACTTTGAAGTGCAGTTGTTCACAGTCACTTTACTGATGAATTTGGTGATTTCCAAGAACACAACTGTTCTTTGCTAACTTCTTTATTCCTTACCTTGTACCTGCTTAGCAAAAACTCACTTGTGATAAACTTTATTCCTTAACTTTTCTTTGTATACTATTCCTAACTCTCACACATCTCTCCGTCAACCAACCCTCCCGCCTTCTAGCCCTTGTCTTTTTCATACATAATTCATCATTTCCACCCCCTCAGAGATTCTATAGAGAAGTGGACTTTTTTTGACAGATGGCTTTCTAATACAGATTTTAAAGAATAGTTTATAATCTAAAGTAGTCTTAGTGGAAATTTAGAAAAGAAGTAAGGATGAAATATGGTTTCTTTACATGTATTTGGGAAGCAAGCATTTTTCCAAGGCTGTAGTGTAAATGACTGGTTGTTCTTTTTCTCCTCTAGGAAAAATTCCTATGGCTTTCGAAAAAAAAGAGAAGACAAGTTTACAGTGAGTAAACATTTGTAACTATTCTTTTTAGTTATATTTTATTATATTTGGTCTTGAAAATATGAAAAGCTAATTATAACCAAACTGTGTATATATATACACAGAATTCTGGATTTCCAGTTGATAATGAGTAAGCATCAGTAAAATTTTTTGAAAATTTATAAACAGCAGCAGCTAGGCGGCGCAGTGGATAGAGCACTGGCCCTGGAGTCAGGAGGATCTGAGTTCAAATGCGACCTCAGACACATAACACTCACTAGCTGTGTGACTCTGTGTAGCTTTTTTCAATTGCCTTAACCAGAAAGAAAAAGAAAATTTGTAAACATAGGATAAACTAAAAACACAACTAATATTTGGGCCAATCAAGCAAAGTAGGAGATAGTTTGGAGTACTTAAAAATATAGTTGCCAAAGAGTTTCTAGGTTTTTATTTTTAAAAAATTTTTTTACATGATATAAATGTTTTGGCCCATAAATAGAATCTTGTTCACCTGTAATCAGATATGTAAGTCTTCTGATAAACATCAGATGAGTACTCACAATCTTGCCGCAGTTTGCATATCTACCAACATATCATGTGTTTGTCATTGATGAACGTGAAGTGAGGAGCAGTGCTTCTCTTAAGTTCAGAAATGCTTTTTCTTTTCCCAAAAACTTGCTTAAAAAATGTCACCTGTTACTGCTGCATTTTAGCAGAGAGAAAAGTAGATTGGTCATTGCAATTGTCCCCCCCTATTTCTCAGCTCTGAAGTAAATTTAGAATCATTTCAAATTTTTCCAGAAATTAAAAAAAAATATATTTTCCCTACCAGTGTATTTTTTGTTTTCAAAGGAAGGGGGGTGGAGAGAGGGAAGCACTTTTTATACCTTAGAATGTTATTTAAATGTGTGTTATTATTCTTGGCACATGCACAGTGCCTACTTTTAGAAAACTATTTAGTAAAATTTAAAAGTATTGGTCTATTCTGACTCGAGCATAATATAATCTGCGAAATAAAGTTTTTGTTTCAATTATTTTTTAAGGTTCATTTGTTTGACAAGTATTTGAGTGCCTATGGATATTAATGGGAGAAATAAAGATAAATGAAACACTTCATCCCAACCTCAAGAGGTTTACAATCTAGAATATGTATAAATGATTCTTATACAAACTAGTGTCTAAATTTTCATTTGAGTATAGATAAGTGCTGTTGGACTTCAGAGGAGGAATAAGATAACGATGTGGTCAGGAACAGTTGTATGGCAGAAAGTGAAATTTGATAGGCAAAAGAAGGTATTTTAGGTTAAGATAATGCATTTTTAAAAGCATGGGAGTAGAAAGGTGAAAGGGAGTTAGTTATAAGGAGTAGTTCTAATAGTTGAATTTGATCCTAGAATGATAGACTCAAGTCTGGAAGAGACCATGTGAAATCATCTGATTCAGCCCACTATTTTCAGGTGTGTGCATGACTATACCATCTTTAATAGCTAGTGGTATATTATTTTCTTAGAATCTTCATGAGTGAGTAATTCACAACTTTTTTTAGTTCAGTGATTTCAGTGTTTTTCCTAGACTCTCTTCTTTATGATTATCATTTTAAAAATCACTCTTAACTTTTGCTTAGTTTACAAAATGCATACTTTTTTTTTTTTTAAAGGCAATTGGGTTTAAGTGACTTGCCCAGGATCACATAGCTAGTAAGTGTGAAGTGTTTGGTCTGAGGCTGGAGTTGAACTCAGGTCCTCTTGACTTCAGGGCCAGTGCTCTATCCACTGTGCCACCTAGTTGCCCTGAAGTGCTTACTTTGTATGCAACACTTTACTTACTGTTCTAAAGAAAGTCTATTCTAGGTCTGAAATTATGTGAGTTCTAGTTACAGAATTTGACAAATACAATTCAGTAATGCAACTTTTTTACAGAGCAACATTATCAACAAGTATAAATGTTTTTGTTGTTGTTCAGTAGCGTTCAACCATTCATGACCCTGTGGACCATAACACCACAGGCCTTTCTGTCCTCCACCATCTCTCGAGTTCTGTCGAAGTTCATGTTCATTGTTCTATCTTATCCTTTGCCATCCCTTTTTCCTTTTTCTTTTCAATCTTTCCTAACATCAGGGTCTTTTCCAGTGAGTCCTATCTTTTCATTATGTGGCCAAGATATTTAAGCTTCATCTTCAGTATTTGACCTTTCAGTAAATAGCCTTAATTAATTTCTTTAGAGTTTTGACTGATTTGACCTTCTTGCTGTCCAAGGGACTCTCAGAAATTTTCTTTAGTGCCACAATTTGAAAGCGTCAATTCTGCAGCATTCAGCTTTCCTCTTTCACACCTTGTTATCCAGCTCTCATAGCCATACGTTGTTACTGGAAAAACCATAGCTTTGACTATATGGACCTTTGTTGGCAAGGTGATGCCTCTGCTTTTTAGTATGCTGTCTGCATTCAGTTAACACTTTTTTGAGCATCTGCTGTGCTAGACAGAGATATACAAAGGTGACCAACATATTGCCCCTGACCTTGAAGCATTTACAGTTTAGTAGAAAGGAATAAGAAATACAATACAAAGTAGAGTATTAATGTTTTTAAGAAGTATAGAATGTGGTGACAATTTTAGGATCCATGGGAGATCACTTACTTTCGGGGAGAGGTTATTTACCATTAGGTTAATCTCAGAATCAGAAGTGGTTCACAATAACATTTTAATGAATAAAACCACATCTAACACACAGTTGAAGAAGAATCTTAAATCATGTTGTTTAATATTTTGTGGAAAGAACTGACTTGATACAGCAAAGATAATCTGTTCCCCCCAAAATTATGTAAAATAAAATTAAAGTATTTAGCGTTACTTATACACCAGTCACCAGAATCTGTTGGAAGTAATAGTAGTGGTGATTTGGAATGTAATTTGTTGTCATTTTAGCTTTGTGCTTGACCTTATGTTAAGGGTCTCTCAGTTCCTTCTTACTTCAGATATAGGGAAGGTGATAGCACGTTGTTTGAGAATGAGCCTTGCCACCATGTGATTATTCTTGTGGTCAGAACAACTCATGAAGCTATTTACTATTTCCTTAGTTTGAACCTGCTTACAGAAGATAATAAGAAGAACATTGAAGGAAAAAAGGCTAATAAATCTTAGGTTTTTTGAGGTGTATTAATTAACCCTTGCATAAGTATTCTCCTCTTAGAGAACTGGGGACATTTCCAAAACTGCTCAGTAACTCAAGGAACTATATAATACAGTCATTTTGGGATTACGTCTTCTCTTATAATTTAGCTAAAGGCCAGCCAGTCAACAAGCATTCCTTAATTACCTTTTATGTGTCAGCCATGGTGCAAAGTACTGGTGATACAAAGAAAAGCCAAAAAAAACCCCAACAACAGTCTAATGGTAGAGACAAAATGCAAGAATTATGTATATAAACAAGTTGTGCACAAGATCGTGAATAAGGATCAGAAAAGGGATTGTAGAAGAGATGTGAAGGAAGCCAGGAGAGCTAGGAGGCCCAAATTGAGGAGTGAGAGAGTACTAAGTATGGAAGATGGCAGGTAAAAATGCCCACAGTTAGACAGTGGAATGTCTAGCACAAGGAACAACAACAACAGTATCATTCAGTCTCAGAATATAAGAAGACTGGAAAGATAAGAAGAGGCCAGGTTATAGAGAACTGTAAAAGCCAAACAGGATTTTATATTTGATCATGGAAGCAGTAGAGAGCCAAGGTGGGCAGGGCGAAGTGGGGAAGAGACCGGGGGGGGGGGGGAGAAAGAAAGTGTGTGTGTGTGTGTGTGTGTGTGTGTGTGTGTGTGTGTGTTGGAAAAGGGTGACATGGTCAGACTTGTGCTTTAGGACGTTCAATTTGGCAGCTGAATGAAGGATGAACTAGAGTGGGGAGAGTATTGAGGCAGGAAAGTATCCAGCTGAATGTTGCAACACTATCCTAGGTAGCGTAGGAGCATAGGCATGAGGTGATAAGAGCCTACACTTGGGTGGTAGCAATGTTAGACGTGAGTTCAGGAGTTATTGTAATGAAAAATTTCTTTACCTAGCAGACAGCCTGGTGAGATTCTCTGGACTGAACCTGGCAGTTCCTTTGTAGCCATCCCTTGGTTTATAATCAAAACTTTTCCAGCTGGGTAGAACAACCCTAAATAGTCCCAGGCATTGGCCATGCCTCACTAAAGCTTTCAAGTGGGACTAATGAAGCCCCTGAAAATGAAAGGAGTGGTCAGGATGACCTCTGAGGTTATTTCTAGTTCGAAATCTGTTATCCTGTAAAAGAGTCGCATGATTTTGTATGCACTAGAATATTGTATTATATTCGAATATAGTAAAAATTTTGAGGAGTCATGAGGTAATGAATGAACAAGTAACATGCTATCAGCAAACTGTAGAACTGATACCCAAGCTCTTTTTAGAAGCTGTATTTCAAAAAAATTTTCAGGACCTTCACTAGTCACGTAAATGATAGCTTTTAACTTGTCATCTGACTGCAAATTCATTGTTACTTATGCTATACCACATTGCCCTCTTCTGGCTAATAGTGTTTGGAAATATGGTCTCTGTCACATGACTAAATAAAATAATTTTTGTAAGCACAGATGATTATCTACGATCATCACTGATATCTAAGCTATGTCTAAGCATGGATTTTTTTAGGATTTGGTTTTTCCCTTCTTTAGCTTGATTTTGTTCTTAAATCTTAGATGTCTTTTTGTTTGTTCATTTGTTTGTTTGTTGTTTTGGTTTTTTTGTTTTAGGCAATTGGGGTTAAGTGACTTTGCCGAGGGTCACACAGCTAGTAAGTTTCAAGTGTTTGGTCTGAGGCTGGATTTGAACTCAGGTCCTCCTGACTTCAGGGCTGGTGCTCTATCCACTGTGCCACTTAGCTGCCCCCGATGTCTTTTCTTTGGTTAGAAAGATCTTCATTATTATGGATTTCTGATTTTTGCCCTCTTTTTCACCTTCCTTCTAAGTAAAATCTGGGTTAGTCTAGCTGACCAATCTCCTGTTATATTTATAACTTTTTCTTTTCTGTTCTTTGTTTTCCTAACTGAAGACTCCTATTCCAACATCCAAGTGCCTTCAGCATGCCAGGCAGCGTACCAAGTGCTGGGATATAAATAGTATATTGATATTCTAAAAAATAAATGTCCTCTTTTTGGTTGAGATTTTGGACTTGCATAAAAAATTATGTTGTTCAAATAATATTATGAACACAGTTTAACTGTTATTTTAATAACCAAGTGTATCATTATATTGTACTGTATTATACGTTATACTGTATACTGTATTATACTGTAACAAAATAATTATTTCAAATGCTATTGAGGGGTGTGTTCATTCACTAGTAGGTCCATAGTACTATGCTTTTCAGTTCTTAGGAATTTTTAAACAGCTTTTTGTCTTCTCTGAAATGATTTTTGTCGTTAATTTTATTGATGCCTTTTTTTTTTGCATCAGACATTATTGAGCCATGCCTCATATTCACCTGATCCTCCCAACCCCAGCCTTCCCTGACAGTTATTAGGCAAAATTCCCTGACCCATTGACCTCATTTAAATGTACATGTAAAATTCTACACCAATAGTGGGCCAACCCCTGGCTCATTTCTCCAGTGAAAGAACAAAGATATATATTTCTTCCTCTTTGAGGTAAAGAATGGTTATTATAATTACATGGCAATTATAAAGTCCTTATTCATATTTAGGGGGTAAATCTAAACAGTCTACCTCCATGCTTAAGATTTCTTTTAAATCTGCTATCAGCTAAGAAACCAGATAACTAAGCTTATCAAAATGAGAGCAAATTGAATCTAAGGGACAAATGCTTAAGCTTTTGTGCATAAATTCTCTAATGCACATTTTGACCTCTTAGAGGTCTTTTGGGGTGTACTTATTTCCTGACTATGTTCAAGGTTAAACCAGTAAGCACTTATTGAACACTTAGTACTATGAATATAAAGAAAGGCAAAAATAAATGACAGTCCTTGCTCTCAAGAAGCTCATGGTAGAAATTGTTTTAGCATGATGTTTTAAGGATTAGGGTGTTGATTTAATTTGGATGTAAAGCTTGAGATATTAAAATGAGACTTTTTCTAGACTCCCTGGCTCATATCTTTTGCTGTAGTACCCCCATTCATCTGTCAGTATTGCAAACCCCCCCCCATTAAATATTAACTTTGTTTTTTTGTTACAGCGAAGTCAGACTCAGTCTCCAACACCACCAAAACCTCCATCTCCTAGCTTTGAATTAGGCTTGTCTAGTTTTCCACCTTTACCTGGAGCTGCAGGCAATTTGAAGACAGAGGATTTATTTGAGAACAGGTTGTCTAGCATGGTAATGGGAACACCAAAAGAAAGAGTAAGTAATATGTATTATAAAAGGGGGAAAATTATAAATACTTTGGATATACTCTCTCATGCTTGTTTGTATAATGTTTGTATAATAATGAAAGCATCTTCTAGAATTATATGTCACTAAATGAAATAAAGGAAAAGACACTCAAAACTATTTCGAATCCAGTGCTGTGGCATGTAACTAACTCTAGCAGCTATAGCAAGGTAAGTGGAGAATTGGCCTTAAGTTGAGGAGATCAGTTTACCTCTCTGGGCCTCAGGCTCCTCTAGAAGTTATCTCTGTACCACTTTTCAGCTCTAAAATAAGTCTCATTTACAACATTGGGTACCAAAACAAAATGTGTTTTTGTGCCTGCCTTTACTATAAATTCCACCTTTCAGCTGTGCCTGGATGTTGCAGTGTTCCCTAGTCAGTGGACACTAACAGCCTTCTGTTTGTAGGTAACAACTAGGAATGAGATTGAGATTTAGCTCTGGATGTATAACACATGCCTTTGGCTACTGGCTCACCCCAGATCCTGCCTCCTGTCTGGATTTCCTTAGGTTGTATCTGCCCTTGCTCCTGCCTTCTGTGAATCTGAACTTTTGGGCATTACAGAATGCAGTATCACCAACTACCTGTGCGTAATAGAGGCCTGACAAAAGCCATAGACGCCATACCAGATTAGCTGTGCCAAGCCTCCACACTGCACTGGCAACCTGATTTCCTGCCTTCCCTATCTCAAAAGCTTGGCGATCCAGTTCAGCTATACATTATCCTCTTAACCTTGAGTACTTGGCCTCCTTGGCTTATTATGCCTTGCCAAGCCCCAGACTTGTGTTATTCACACCATCTACTTCTACTCCCATTCTTATTAAATGAAGCTGGAGAAAATCACCAGACCATGCTTACTTGAGGTGGCTACAAATTTATGTTGCATACTCTTAATTGGGTTCTCCCTATAACAAGTTACCTCAGTTACCAGACCTTTTTTTCCTTCCTTAACTTTCCTTTGGTACCCTCCCACCCCCCAGAGAGGGGGTTCTTTAGTATCAAGAAAGTTTATTACAGAGAAAGTCCAGGGGATTTAGACATTTCTGGCAAGAAGTGGGCTCCACCCCTCTTGAGGAGGGGAGGGCCCTGAGTACAAAAGGGAGAGTGCTTTTATGCAGTTAAATATGGCACGAAACCTCCCAGGCCAGAATTGGTTTGTTTGTTCCCGGATTACATCCTTCCTCCTCCCTATGTCATACATAGCAGGCACACTAACATTTTGCTGCTGTCCTCGGTTAACCGGTCTGAGCTGGTTCGACTCTTTTCTTGATTTTGGGATCTTCTTAACAGTGTGTAGACTTACGTTAAACATTACAGCAACCAGAGGAAGGACTCTAGAACATAGGGAGGAACTCTATGGAAGTGTTATGTAAAGATACAGATAAGAAATGCACAAAATGGGGTGATATGAATGGATCACTCAAAAGGTAGATCTGTGTTGGAAAAGTCAGTATACACAGAAATGGGATTATTAATCTAATGAAGCATTCTATTCTTGAGAAGCAGGAGGTTATCATAACTAAAGTTGACGATCTTATTCCTATAGGAAAAAGAAGTGTAGTAGACTATAATAAACTATATTAACCTTAGAGTATTAAGTTGTTCACCAGTTAAAATATAGGCAAGTAGACTATTTCCTGTTTGAAATTCATTTACTGCTGTAATTTCCTATTAATTTTTTTAGCACATTTTATGCTTCTGTTTTTCATAAAAAGGTAAACAATACTATCCAAAATAATATACCACATTAATGCATTACTAATAAAAATTCCAATAATGTTACTTTATATAACTGGATAAGGGAATTATTCAGAAAAACAAATTAGTCAGGAATCATTCTTTTAAAGTGTCAAGGAGATAATAAGAACAAAATTTCCTGGGCTTCCTACATACTTTTCTTCTTTAGGAACTCCCTAATACAGACTAAATGGCCTATTTGCTTTTAGTCCTTTAAAGAAATCCAACTCCCATGGCCATGCCTTTGCATGGTTAATCCAGCATGCCTGAAATGTATTCCCTCCCAGAGAGAAATCTGAAATCTAGAACTTTTAAGAAACTGGTATAAATGTAATACCCAGGCACCAATATAGAAAAATGACTGAAGGTATGGGTATAGACCGTTTTCAAAACAAAACAAAACAAACTGTAAATAACTATTTGAAGACCATTTTTAACCTTACTAATAATTTTAAAATGGGCAACTTTAAACAACTTTGAGGTATCACCTCACGTCCAAATTTGTAAAAAATTAAAGCTTACTGATATTAAAGTTTTGGGTCATTGGTGATGTTGAAAATTGGTACAATATATGAATTTGGCAATGAACAAGTGATATAAAAGGACTTCCTATGTGAAAACATTTGTAGCAGTGTTACTTTTAATTGTAAAAAATTAGAAAAGAATCTCAAGGTAGGCATTAGTTAAACACACTGTATCCATGTAATAGAAACACACAGTGTCATTAAATGATAGGGGGAGAAATTTACAATCTATCTATATATTATTAAAACAATGATTGTGACAAGGATGAAGTCTATTACCAATAGATAACTCGTGCATTAGAAACAGCAGAAAGAAACCAACCATTACATCTACAACTGGATAAAGGGGATTGGCTAATCATGCAGTGAGAAGAATGTCTAGTCCAGGTGTTACACCGCTATACCCAAAGTATTAAAGAGACAAAAAGGAAGACCTATTGAAGCTCTAGTTATTCTATGAAGAGTTAAATGGAAGGACATAGACAAAGAATGGTACGAGATGAGAAAGCAACAGTACCTATGTTCAAAACTGATCATGGGTTGGACAGACTCAAGATGGCAGAACATAGGTAGCAACCCAGCCAGTCTCTCACAACATTCCTTTCCAAATAACTTTAAAATAACTCCTCAAATCAGACTGTGGAATGGCAGAGCCAAGAAAAGGTCAGAGTGAGACACGTTGTCCAGGCTAAAACAAGTTAGGAGGTTGGCAGGAGAGTTCTGTAACAATGGAGTGAGGGCCTGCCAAGAGCACACATGATAGCAGACAGCACCAGCAGCCGTGGCAGACTTTGGTTGTGGCTATGACAGCGGCAGCAACAGCTTCAGAAACTTAGCAATGAGGGTGTTGGATAACTGGTCAGAAGGAGATCACGAGGCACTCTTTGCTGCTACTGGGTACATCTGGCACTGACTAGCAACTCTATTGCCCATACACACTTCTGGGTATAGTTCCATAGGCCAAAGAAGAGGACTAGTGATTTGTTACAAGGGAGCAGGGGCCCTGGTCACAGTTCCAAAGCAAAGAGGAGTGCTAATGCCTGCAGTTGCTGGAGACCAGGGACTCTTCCTTGCTAGAGAGGAGAGCACAGACCAGGAGAGCAGTGACCACACCTCTTCCCACCTTGGAAGCACCAAAAACTTGTAGACCCCTAGAACTAGCTCTTAAAATAGCAGCATGAAAAAGTCTGAAGCTTGGGACAGTGCTTCCCCGACCCCAGGTGAACAGAGCCTAACTTTAACATAAAGTTCAAAGTCAAGAAATAAGCTGCAAACAACAACAACAAAAAGGACTCGATCATAAAAAGTTACTACAGCGGCAAGGAAGACAAACTCAGAAGAAGACAATAATGTGAAAACAAATACAGCCAAAGCCTCAAAGAAAAATGCTAACTATACAACAAGAATTCCTGTAAGTTTTTGAGAGATAAGAGTAGTAAAGAAAAATTGGGAAAAGAAATGAGAGTGATGCAAGAAAATTAGGGGTGTAGTTTCAGAAAAAAAATATGCAAGACCTGTATGAACATGATGCAGTGTGAGTGAGAAGAACTGGGAGATCATTGTGCACAGTAAGAGCAATGTTGTAATGATGATCAATAGTGAAAGACTTGGCTAATCAATAAAATAATTCAAGACAATTGCAAAGGATTCATGATGAAAAAAATGCTGTCCACCTCAACAGAGAGAACTGATTAACTCTGAATGTAAACTAAAGGACAATTTTCTCACTTTCTTTACTTTTTTGTTTTTGTCTTTTTTTTTTTTGGCAATACGGCTAATATGAAAATATGTTTTGCATGATTTCACATGTATGACTGATAACATTTTACTTGTCTTCAGGAGGTAGGGGAGAGAGAATTTGGAACTCAAGATTTAAAAAGGAAAAGAATCTTTAAAATAAATAAAAAATAAATCTTTTGGGGGGAAAATAAAGTCTTCCATAATTTGGAAAAAAAATGATTGTGAACACATAAATGTTCCGAAGTAAACAGTTTTGCATTCTAAACTTTTTTCTGCCTTAAAATTCTTCCATTCGGGTTTATCCATATATGTCAACAATGGCATGGATACAATGCTGGTTTATTGAAGGCTATAGCAAAAAAATCTAAGTTCTGGGTGGGTGATCCTGCCAGATTAGAATGGCTTCAGATCTTGGTGAAGAGAAGCTGGATGTCTCTTGTCTGAACAGTGACCTGGCCAAATTTAGAAATGATCATACTCACAAGTCTAGCAATCAGATCATGTATTATTTTGGCCATGATCTGAAACAAACTGTCTACAAATACCCTGGCTGCAAATATCAGTATCAATGAAAGAAGTACTCATAACAGCATATTTACAGATCTAAGTATTGAATGTATAATGTGATAATAAAAGGATCAAAAAACAAACCATAAACCTAAGTAGAGCTATAATGAGTTTAAGTATGTATATATAGACACATCAGGACTCTGATCCTTCCTGTATTTTTTAGCAATTGAAAGGATGTGAAGGTGAAGATAGAAAAGAAGATCTGTTTCCCTAAGCTGACAAACTAAGCTAGTGGCACCCTCAGTGTCTAAACAATTTTTTCATGGTGCTCCTAGGCCAAATACTAATTTTAAGTATCATCAAATATATGTAAAAAAACCCTCAAAAATATCAAAAGCAATGTAGTGACTTTTTCTCTCAAAAATTTAAATTATCCCATCATGCACCAGAGTTCACCAGTATATAGCTTGGGAACTATAAAGCTAAGCAGCTATGGCTATTCTGTTGGTATCAAAACTCTAGGTGGATAACACATTACTTATTTTTTCTGCCTGTGCGATTTTGGTGTAAGATATTCTTTCATAAGGACGCTCTATTTCTAATGCAGACTGACAACTGTCCTGCAATTTGTATCATCATAGGCATGCCATTTAACCTCTGCCTGTTTCAGTTTCCTGTAAAATGGGAACAATAATAACATCTACCTACCAGGGTCGTTGAGAGGATAAAATGAGATAATGTTTGTAAAAGTGCTTAGGACAGTATTTGACACACAGTAGGTACTTAATAACTGCCTGCTGCCTTCCATTCTTCATATGAGGTGGCAACCTGGAGGCAGTGAGAACTTAACAGACTTGCCCAGTCACAATGAGGCCAGCTATATGTTAATTATACTCTTGTGTAGTTATTGTAAAAGAAAATAAAGTAACAGAATTTTTCCATGTTAGTTTCATTAATGCTTCCAGATTTGATGCCTAAGAATTTACAACTTATATCAGATTTGATATCCACATCTAAGTATCACATGTTGTTGATTTTCCTGAGTACAATCATAGAATAGTCATGGCTTCTTTGCAAGTCTTGATTACTAAATTGAAAGGTTAAGGGTTGGGCACAAGCAGAAAATCACCTATTTACATAAAACGAATTAAAAGTCTTTCTTGACAGTGTGCTTTCAGAGTGCATTAGGAAGTCATCAGCATCATCAACAAGCATTTATTAAGCGCGTATCATATGTGAAGCACTGTGCTAAGCAACAGGGAAACAAAGAGAAAACAGAGATCCTGTGTCTCAAAGAGCTCACATTCTAATAGTGGAGACAATAAGCAAAGAACTACAGTGCATACAATATATCAGAGTATAAATGCAAGGTAATCTCAAGAAGAGGCACTAGAAGAGGATGAGTTTGGGTAAGGCTTATTATAGAAGGTGAGATTTGAGCTGAATCTTGAAGGAAGCCAGTAGGTAAAGGAGGCGAGGGAGAACATTTTACCAACAGGAGATAGTCAATGAAAATGGATTGCAGTGTGAGAGGTATAACAAGGAGGCCAGGGGACACTGGATTGTAGATTATAGGGAAGACGGTAAATTGTAAAAAGACTGAAAAGGTGGAAAGGGGTCATGATGTAAAGGGCTTTAAAAGAGAGAATTTTACATATCATTCTAGAGGGAATAAGGAGTCACTGGAGTTTGAGTAAAAGGAGTGACATGTTCTAATCTGCACTTTAAGAAGATCACTTTGACAGCTGAGTAGGGGGTAGATAAAAGTGGGAAGAGACTTGAGGGAAGAAGACCAATCAGAGGACTACTGCAATAGTCCTGGTGTGATGCAATGAGGTATTCCACCAACAGCTGTAGGAGCAGAGAGAAGGGGACATATATAAGACATGCTTGAAGGTAGAAATGACAAGATTAAGGAAAAGACCGAGTGAGAGCGAAGAGCTGAGAATGGCAAGGAAATTATGAACCAAAAGAAATAAGGGAGTTAGGAAAGAAGGAGGGTTTGAGGGAAAAGATAATGCATTGTATTTGAACGTGTTGAGTTTGAGATGTCTACGGGCCATCCAGTTACTGGTGTTCACCAGGTAGTTGGTAATGTTATAATTAAGATGGAGAAAGTTTAGGCCTAGATAAAGAGATTTTAGAATTATCTACATAGGGATAACTGAATCTTTGGAAGCTGATGAGATCATGAAGTAAGATAGCAAAGAGGGAGAAGGGCAGGAATTACTACAGTTAATGGGTGCCACCTAGATGAAGATCCAGCAGAAAAGGAGAAGGAGAAATCAGACAGGTAAGGAGAAGAATCAGGAGAGAGTAGTGTCATTAAAAACCTAGATAGTAGCCAGATGAAGGTCTTCAGCAATATCAAAAGCTGCAGAAAGGTTAAGAAGGATGAGGATTAAGAAAAGACCATTAAATGTGGCAATTAAGCTATTACTGGTAACTTTGAAGAGAGCAGTTTCAGTAGAATGATGATGCTAGAAGCCAAACTGCAAAGGGTTTACAAGAGACAGAGTTGAGGGAATGGAAGGCATTCATTGGAGATGGCTTTCTCAAAGAGCTTAGATGAGAAAGGGAGGAAAGGTAAAGGGCAAAACCTGTTGTGGATGGTTGGATCAAGTGAAGATTTTTCAAGGATAGGGGAGACATGAACATATTTGTAGGTAGTAGGGAAGTAACTAGTAAACAGAGAGAATGAAGACTAGTGATACAGTTGTAATGATCAAAGGGGCAATCAACTAGAGAAGACAATGGAATGGGACCACTTGTACATGGATATGAGTTTGCATTGTAAAGGAGGAGGGCCACTTTATGTGATACCGGATGAAGGAGATGGTTGATGTGAGATGAGGAAAAGGGAGAAGAGAAACCTCTCAATGGATTTCCTCAATTTTTTTAGCAAGTAGGAGGTCAAGTCCTCTGCTAAGAGATCTGGGGAACATAGCCCCAGATAGAACCATCACTAAGGCATTCCAAAGTTTAGCCACTTTAGCTGAGGAGTTGGCAGAGAACTCTGGGATAGATAACTGATTAAAGGGATGGTTAGAATCCTGGTTTGGCAAATAGAAGGGTATAGCAGCATCCATCATCACCTCTCTAATCGTAGCTGCGGGAGTTTTAACTGCAGTAGGGTGTTGCATCATCCCTTGTATCAGAAACAGTGCTAATTAAAAGTATCCCAATGAGACTGGCTAACAGGATCAGATGGAGTTAGGATGATGATTAAGAGAATTAATGATCATTCGTCTCCTTCTGATGAAGAATGCTAACTAATGCTAAAACACTTTGAGGAAAGACAACAGGAACAAAAAGTGTGGATAATAATCCTTATTGAGAAGAAGAGGAGGGAATTGTGAGAGTTAGGTAAGGGTTAAGTTTCCACAGAGGGAGAATTGTGCAGAGAGTTATAAAAAACAACTCAAGGAAGCAGTTACACTGCAGGTGGGCTCCGGCTTAGCCAATAAGAAGGTGGCAGATGGTTCCAGGCTGTCCGTTAATTATAAGTCATTATAATAATATATTAATTACATTATTATCCATTAACTACATGACTGGCTTACTTCCTTTTCCTATCATACATGTCCATAATGGTGTCTATAATAGTAAGGTAATTATAATATGGACCTTACCCAGCATATTTCCTTATTTGAAATTTTTCTCTGATTCCTCTGAAATTTAGGGAATTCATAAAAAAGATAACTCTTCTATGGTATTTTCTTTCATTTGGTTTTATTAGAACAGAAATTGGCAAACTTTGAAAGGTGAGGTGCCAAGATTCCAATATTTCATTCCTTGCTCTTTCGTTGTCTCCTGTGTTCCCGTGCACTAAAAAATGATAGCATTTCGATGCTTCTTCCCCCTCACTCCAAATTATTTAGCATCACCATTATTGGCACAGGTTCAGTCAGCAGCGGTCCCCTTTTTTAAAGTAGTCATAAACTGCTTTTTTATATAAAATCACTTATTTCTTGTACCTCTTTAAAATGAACTGAATTCAGTTATTTTGCTTTTCCCTCTTTTTAGCCCCTGAATGTGGATGCAAGTACAAACACTATTCCTGCAGTAATGCCTAGAGAGCCTTCAGTGTCAGGTTCTTCTGTTCTGTCAGCAGCCTGTGAACAGTCTCCCTCCCCGGTCCAGTTACCTGAGTAAGGATTTGAATTTTCACAACTGTGTCTTTGGTTTTATTAATTTTGAATCCAGAATTAGATAAGACATTAAAGATCTGCCTGTTCACTTTATTAAACAGAATGTTGTTTCATGGTAAGCTGTTAGTAAATGGAATAAATTTATTCTTTTAAAAATTATCTGATGATAAATCTTTAAAAATCATGAGAACTAAACCTGCCCTTTAAGTTGGGTATGTATGTCCTAATCAAAAACCTGTATTACTTCTACAGAAGATATATAGATATAGTTGTTACTATTACATAGTTTTACAGAATATTGTTATTTGCTCATTGCAGATGTTTATATATCAAAACAAATCCTGTACCAATTTCCAGCTTAGCTGTTTGTTTTATGTATTTCAAGTTATCTGAGACCTTGAAAGCAAAGTTTTTTTATTATTTAGATTGTCTCTGATTCTCTTATTAGTGGTTTTGCTATATGTGGAAATAACTTTAGTTTTTTCATTATTTGATTAATTATGAGGATGATATATCTATTTTACATCCAGAGTCTATCTTCTGGTAGAATTCTATATGTACAAATTAATTTTTTAACACTTTCTTCCTACTTGGCTCTAATAATTGGCCATCAGATATTAAAGTACAGGAATCTGTCCTCATTTTTCAAATTCACATGTAACATTGTTTTACAGAGAATCCAAGACTGTGGAAAACAAGCAGAGGGAAACGCACAGTATGGAACGGCTTCCTTGTGCCCTTGCTCCCACTGCGTGTAGATCGGTGCAAATCAATGGAGCTCCTGCAGTATGTCTCTAACACTTCTTCTAAATTGCCTAATCTGGAATATAACTCTCCTGAGTACTGCTCAGGAGGCTTATTTTCACTAAGCGCTAAGTTTTTTCTTCACCTTTATGAAGTAATTTTGGTACTAGAGATGTTCTTTCAATTCACTGATTTTTCTTTTAATAGCTTTAGTGATCTGGCATTTATGGTTATGAATACAAATCAGCAGTTTATCAGAAGTGGGCTTCCAAAGCTCTTCTGTATTCCCCTTTATATCTCCCCTCATTGAGATGCTACCCTCTTTTTGTGAGGGCACCATTATCCTTGCAGAAACTGTGTCATTTTTTAATATTCATTCCCTTCCCAAGTCTTGTCAGTTCTACCTTCACAACATATCTTGCTTCCATCCCCTTCTCTCCACTCACATGGTCAACACTTTCGTCAGGCCATAAATTTATCATTTATCACCTGAACTAACTATTGCAATCATGTCCTAACTGGACTCCTGACATCAAACCTTTCTCTCTTCTCTAACTTCCCCATAGCCTCCAGAGTCTTTCTAAGCCATGTTTCCCTTTTCTGTACAAACCTCTATCCCTATCCCTCTGTGATTTTGAGGTAATAGAATTTCTAACTAGTGGTCTGTCCCTAGTATTAATCATAATCAGTCTTTAGAAAAGACTTGTAAATTACATGACATAGTACTAAGCACTCAGAAGCTCTTCAAAGTAGGTAGAGGAAAAAGAAGAATTTCGACGTTGGTGAATTTTTTTTTCTTTGCTAGGCAATCAGGGTTAAGTGACTTGCTCAGGGTCACACAACTAGTTAAGTGTTGAGTGTCAAGTATCTGAGGCTGGATTTGAACTCAGGTCTTCTTGACTCCAAGACCAGAGCTCCACCTAGCTGCCCCCAACGTGAATGAGTTTTCCTAGGCTTCTAATTTAGGCTCCCCTACAGAAAAATTAATAGAGAAAGGATTATATTCTGCTATCTTTTTTCAGTGCTTTCTCTTTTTCTGCATCTTCATCTTTTTTCTTAGAATCTTTTACTTGAACCTCAGAATTCTTGAGTTCATGTATAATTGGGCTAGAATAAGAAACAGTCAATTCATGCTGTAATTTCATTATTGTTTTCTGAGCATTAACTAAAAAACATTGGCTTAACCTTAAATTTAGGCCTCTTAAAATATAGAACCAAATTGAAATTGTTGTGTTCTAATATGTTTTGCTTTTGTCTTCTGAGCTTCATTTACACTTAAACAAGTTATTACTACAGATTAATCATTTTGTGCTTATAATTTAAGAGTCTTGTTTGTTCCTAATTTCCCAGGAATTGAGAAAACCCAGTTATGCAGAAATTTGCCAGAGAACAACTAAAGAGCTGCTGCCTCCTCTTCCTCCTTTACAAGCTCAGAAAGAACAGAAGCCAAACTCTGCTGGCTGTGGGAAAGAAGAGAAGAAGCCCACTGAGCCATCAGTGGAGAGATGCCGAGAACCCCCTCCTTCAAAATCAAATCCAGGACACCCCAAAGACCAGAGGAGACAGTCAGGCCGCAGATCCCCACCGCCAGCCCCTGGGAAGCGTTTAAATAAGGAACAGAGCACACCTCCCAGGTCTCCCCAGTGAAAAGAGTGTGTGTGTGTGTGTGTGTGTGTGTGTGTGTCTGTGTCTGTGTGTCTGTGTCTGTGTGTCTGTGTGTGTCTGTGGACTGTGGAAGAGTTCTGTTTACCAAGGTTCCCATTTGGAATACGGAGCATGAGTTGCTGGTTAGGAGCTTGCAGTGGTACATGAGGCATGTGAAATGCCTTCCAGTTACTTTTCTTCTATGAAAAATTATTTTCCCCTCTTGAAAAACAGTCTATTTTTTCAGGATTTAATTGATCTAAACCTTATGTTTAGGTTGGTGCTTAACTGGAGGTGATGCATAAAGTCTGATTTTTTTTCAGGATAGAAAATGCATTTATCTTAACAAATTGATATTTTTTATTAAGCCTCCATGTGGCTATGAATGCAAGCTATATATATGTATAGTGAGTTTTTCTAAATTAAGCAGAACTCTACTGCTTCATTTTTTTAAAAATAACTGGTCTGGAAGTACATACCTTAAAATGACTAAATAGACTGATGATGGCTGGTGACAGCTAGTATTGTGAGTGCAGGAAGAGCAGATAAATTTTACAAAATGCTGGCACGTGTAACTGGGAGGAAATTTTTTGTTAGGTTATTGTGACTCATTTGGGCATAGGAACTTGCACTTTTGGGTTAACTAAGTGGTTGGTTCTGGCATTTAAAAATTTTAATTAGTATTTGATCTTCAGTGCAAATGAATGATAAACATCTGTGGAGAGCACCGTAGAGAGTGTGTTTGAGTTTTGATTTACTGCAAGCAAATAACCAGCTTCTCACTCCATATTAAAGTAGATTAGAGTACATTTAACAAATTCAAAGCACATTGTGAATGGAAGGAAAAACAATTCCATAAACTTTCATTGTGGAGAGGTGCCCATAGATATATGTTACTACGAGGTAGCACTGTCATGTTTTTTTGATAACCTGAAAGTTAGCATTCTTGGCCTGACAAGGAAGCTGATACAAGTCACCACTGTACCTTCTGGTTCCCCCTTGTCCTATGCTCATGCTTTGTGTAGATTTCTTCCAACTGCCCCAAGTGCTCTTTGAAAGAGTCCATGTATTTAGTCAACTGAGGGTTGACTTCTTCCTGTACCTCCTAACATTGGCATATAGATGTAAAATTTTTTTAAGTGTGAGAGAATGGTGTTTGGGGATTTTTTTTTTAATGTGCTGGAGAAAAATCCCTGCTTTTCCTCTGAAATGAGGTTCCTCTTATTGATTCACTTCTAGAAGTGCTACACTTCTGAAGAACAAGGATGCACTAAATTAGCAAGTTTCTAATAAAGTTAAATATAAATTATTTTTGTTTTAAAATGCCTAAGGTTTTTCTTTAAGTGTTCTAAGCAGCAGGCAGTTAAAATGATACTATTTCCTGCTAAATGTAACCATACAACTTATTCCATAAATGTTTATTTAAAAGGACTGATTTTTTTTAAGAAATTATTTCCATCCAATATTTAAAGACTTGAATTTTATTTAAACTTGAAAATGACTTTGCCTTAACTTTTGTATAAGACAGCGTAGCGTTAATGAAGACTGGCCCACTGGGTTGGCATGAGTGGAATACAGGATTACTCAGTTACCGTATATATCTAGGGTCACTGGTTTTACTGAGTAAACTTACTGTAGAACAGGTAATGGCAGTTTTTGTAATATACCTTAAAGATCTTAAACAGTTGAACTTTTTCAGATTGTTGAAAAATGCTGTAAATGCAAATAGTCAATACTGTATTAAATATGTGCACTTGGAAGTGTGTGCTTTGCTTGTACAGTTGTAAATAATCAGAACATATAAAAAGGTACCCTAAAGAAAAATCTGATAAAAATTATTGATATATTATAAATGTTGCTGTTGAGCTGGATGTAGATAAACTAAATGTTGTGGTTTGAGTATTACTTTAATTCGTTGATGTTTTGTTTTTATTTGTTTTTTTTTCTTTTTCCTTTTCTTTTATTCTGGTGTGCTGAACTGACTCTGCCTCTTCACTGCAAAAGGGAAATGGGGGAAAATTTTTTATTTAAAAACCCTCAGATGTTTTCATACTCATCTTTAAAAGTGTGCATTTTATTCAGTATGAGTGTGTCTTGTAATATAATGTAAATAGACAATTGGCAGTCTAGTCAAGTATAAGATAAAAAAGATAAATTTTACAAAGATGGTCCATTTAAATAACATTTGTGAATATGAAACTAAGCATCATTAAGAATGCCTTCTCCCTCCCCCTGCCAAAAAGAAATCATACTCTAATATTTATTTGATCACTTCTAATAGTATTAATACTCAAAAAGGTACCAAAATAACATTCAGACACTTAAATGAGGAATGTGTAGTTGATTTCCTTTCATTTTCAGATAGCTGAGTAGAGAACCAAAATTAATTCGCTTCTTAAATCCAAATTAAATTGGACTGCAAGAAAGATTGTAATGGCAAGCTAAGACCTGATTACTTTTTAATATTGCACACTTTGTTGTGAGAGGAGATGGAACATGAACAACCACAGTCATCACGAAGATTATCAAACCCATTGAGTCACTGGATTTTAATATTTATTTCCCCACTCTGGACAGTGAACATGGCAGTTAGATTTGTATGTGGTTATAGCCCGCTGTAATGATTTACTTTGTTTGCCTGCTGAACATGTAAAGCTCACCAACTGCAAACAATTTATTAAAAAGGTCACTTAACAGCAACAGTATACAGCTAATCATTATAGTGAACTGGTACATTATAAGGTAATATATTGAGACCAGCAGGCTATGTTGTGCTGTTTTAATGTATTCTGCTGCCATTTGTACTAGGTCAATACACTGTAAGTACTGCTTACCCAGCAATAGTCTGTTGCATCCAGAGTTTAAACCTTGCTGTGATGTGGCTTTTATAGCTTTCTTTTTAATTAAGCAAAGGTGACATGCCAAATAGCTGTATGATAATACAAAAAAAAATCATGCTGCAATTACTTTTGAGACTTTCCACTCACTGGCAAATTGAGGCTATCAGAATAGAAAGCTGTGATGCTACATGCAGACTTTTGTGATGGGACATATAGCTAGTAACTGTGGCTTTCATAAGTTCATTTTTAAGCCCTCCTAGCAAGCAGTATCTCTAGAATCAGAGATACAGCAATTAAAATTGGAATTTTTAGCTTGTGAAATTGTGTGATAAAAACTTTTCAGAAATATAAAAATAGTACAGAATCTGGCCCAGTTTTCCCATAAATTAATTTAGAGTGGTGTAGTTGTTTTTGAACTTAGTGCCATGACACTTTAGATCAGGCCTCTTGCCCCCATGATTTCATCGTTATTGGCCACTAGAAGTCACCTGATACAGTGACGACAAACTTTTATTTTATTATGTTATCTTTTAACATTTCAGCAGTTGTCATGAAAAGGTCTTGTTTGAATGTGATTCATTGTTTCCCTAGAGCACCAGCTGTCTAATGGTGCATATCGCTTTGTATCTCCTTTAGCTTGCTATGGTGAAGGGTTTTATGTGCTTTGTAACCTATTACACAAATAGCAGCAGACAATCAAAGATTTAAGGAGAGAGTTAACAGCTGCCAATTTGGGAACTGGAAGTGGAATATGGAAGCTTCATTGAGGGTTTTTGTTTTTTGTTCTACTTTTTCCATTAAGACTGGAATCAAGCTTACATGTAAACTATTGATAATTTAAGTTTCTTTTTGTGTCAACAATGTAAAACTGTCTAATTTGAAAAATGTAGGTTATGAAAAATAAAGATTTAGGCATTGTTCAGTTTTTCTTTTGATTTTTTTAAATTAAAATTTTCTTCAAGAATTTTTTTTTAACTTTTTTTGTCTATTCACATTGATGTCTACATTAATGGAAAATAAGTTGCCTCCAGATTGTTTGAATTATGGAAGTTTCTCTGACTTGTACATAATTCTAATTATTTATATGAACTGCCACATAAGGTTTTTTCAGTCTGGCTAAAATTGTTTAAGATTGTTAAATGAAAAATAAAACTGAGCACTAAAATCAGAGATGTTCATTATGAAATAGTGAATTAAACCCAAGCCATAAAGAAAATGCAGAAATATCTCAGTACTGGTTTTTTAAAGAAATGAATTACATTCTCTTCCAAAGCATTGTCATCTAAGCCAGTTTGGATTGCTGTCCGGTATATACATTGTTTTTCAGTTCCATGAAGGCATTGTATGGAAATAAAATCCGCAAACAAACTTATTCATCAGTTTCCATAACAAAAGGTGATAGAAAATTATTTCACTTGTTTATTTCCCCTCATTTGTGAAAGAATGAATGAGGTTTTTTTTAAGCTCAGCAGATGAATGGGTAGGTTTTGATGCTTAACAATTTGAAATAAATACTATGAAAAATAGTTACTGTGTGTTCTTTAAACAGTAAGTATTACACTTTTTAGTATGCTAGCACTTTAGCTGACAAAATTAACCTTTGTATTCATTGTGTCCATTTGCACTAATTGTCAGAGGAAATGAATGAGTAATTCTGATTGCCATTGGGTGAAAGCATCATATTAAATACTGGAATTTCCACATATTTAAGTTAATGCTGAGATTAAGAACAATGATAGAAAAAGAAGTAGCATCCTTCTGCTAATCTTTTTGTCTTGAAATTGCTACTAAAGATTTACATGTAAACAAGGGTTTTTACAAGTTTAAGATGGCTAATGCTATTTCACAGGTTCATGTGATTGGAGAAATTATATTGGTTTTCTTATGTGCTGTCAAATAACTGCCAAGTTCATGAAGATGGCTGCATTTTAAAATAGGTTAACAGCATACTTTTGTTAAGTCTGTTTTTAAACTGCCTTTTCTAAGCCATTTCTTTAGTAGATTTTAAACCTTTCAAAGTTGCACAGCTATAAGCTCTTTAACCATTTCATTCAGTAGCACCTTGAAACTGAGCAGTGCTATAAAATCATAACTAGGCTATGGTATTTACCTTGTTTGGCAATTCTATGGAAGATGACAGTTTGACTGTTGTTAAAGTTGACTTATTGGTGTAACAGATCTGCTTTCCCAGGCAGTAACTTCTGGAAACTGTGAGAGGATGTAGCAGGAATAGGTAGAAATCTTTTCCACTTTCACAAGAGCCAGCTGAGTGTTGAACTGACTCCACACCTAATTCCTTCTCTTTCCATTCCAGCTCTCACTATCATCTGCCGCCAGTGGTGGTAAAGTTTTGAGCCTTTAGGAGGAGCAGGTTGTAGGCTTATTTGCTGGGATGAAAGACACTTGGCCCATCTAGACCCTTGATTCCTTGAGGTGGGTGAATTTTCCATTTTTGACTACAGTCTAAGCTTGACACTTCCTCTGTCCCGACAGACCACCTTTCCCTCCCACCCCACTCCCTAGTGGTGTGATCATTCTCATAATGCAGATCATTAACAGTGAGTAGTTTTCCCTTTTTCCTTCTATCTTTTACTCCCCTCCTTTAGAGAGTTTGGGGATGGGGAGACCTCCTCATGGGGCTTTCTCCTCATGTGTAGACTTACTTGTATCCTGTCCTCTGAAAGGGTATTGAAGCCTCTAGGTGGCTTAATGGATAGAACACTGAGTCTGGACTCAGAAAGACTCAACTTCAAATCCAGTCTCAGACACTTATTAGCTGTGTCACCCTGGACAAGTTACTTGATCTCTGCCTCAGTTTCCTCAACTGTAAAATGAGGGTAATAGCCTCACCTTCCCAGGATTGTTTTAAGGGTTAAATGAGATAATATTTGTAAAGTACCCAGTACTGTGTTTGGCACGTAGTAAGTGTTCTATGAAGGCTTATTCCCGTTTGCCCCAATCCCTTCCTCCCACCACCCAATCTAAGTCCTAAGTGTAAAGAACAGTTTTTGTTCTGTCTAGTGTCTGTGTATCTAGCATAGTGCCTTACAGGTTTCAGATCTTTAATAAATGTTTCTTGGATCGGACTATAATATTAACTCCGTCATGTCCTATTACACTTTTACTACTTGGAGTAATGTTACTGTTACATTTAAGTACTTTCTGTCTTCACAGAAATGCACAGGAAACCTAGGGAGAAAAGCATCCTGGGAACTTAGGGAAAGCTGTATCACAGGTTTGTTACTGGCTAAAGAGAAGTTAATTGAAAATAACTAGCCAAGACCTAGATTCATATCTGTGATGCAGGGCTGTGTTGGAATAATGCCAGGGAGGATTTTAATGTTTAACCTACCTTCCAAGTTCCTATTAGGAAAGTGCCCTGTAGATCTTTAGTTACAAAACTACTTCTAATGCAGATCTTATTAGGCCACATCAAGGATTCTTATCCTAGGGTCCACATAACCATTAGATTTCAGAAAGTCATTGAAGTTGGATGGAAAAATACATTTATTTTCTGTTGAATTACTGAAATTTAGCATTTCCTTCAATTATGAATATTTTTTAAAGAAAAATTCTGAGAAGGCATCCTTAACATGACTGCTAAAGGGGTCCATATCATAAAACAGGTTAAAAACCCCGTGTCTGCAGGGATTTACTAACCATACCTGGGTGTGCCATGATTTTTCCACAATGACTCCATCCTTCTTTGTTTTGATTTATCCTAAATACACCATAATGAAGCAAAATGAAATCATGTGGGAAAAGTTAAGCACAGAATTTTTTGTGTTTTTAGAAGTCAACTGATGAATGGTCTTGTGAGAATGGGTCAGATAGGTTATATTTGATGTGTTATATGAAAACTGGTCCATAAGCAGTGAATATATATTTTACTGAAGTGAAAGTCACTTTAGTTTCATCCCTTGACATTCACTGCCCAGGAATTAAGTGCCAACAAAGGGTTGGGAATTACGAAAATCTAAAAAGCTTCACATATTTTGGTCTGATAAGATTGTACTGAATCAAATGTAATAGAAGACTTTTGGGGGGGGAGGGAGTACAGAGCCGAGATGGTGGAGTAAAAGCAGTGACTTGCTTGAGCTCTCCCCCAGATCCCTCCAAATACCTGTAAAAAAATGGCTCTAAACAAATTCTAGAACAGCAGAACCCACAAAAAGACAGAGTGAAACAAATTTCCAGTCCAAGACTACCCGGGTGGTTGATTAGAAAGGTCTGTCGTGCCGGGCAGGGAGAGGAGCACAGTTCATCGTGGGTGTGCAGGCAAAACAGGCCTCAGCTAACCTGGAGCAGGCCTCAGAGTACTGAATCACGGGCAGCTGTGGTGATTTCCAGACTTCTCAACCCACAAACACCAAAGACAACTTAGAAGGTCAGTAGAAAAAGCCTGTGACCTCACTAAGAGAGAAGCTCATTCCCAGCCTCAGTACCTGCACAGCCCTGGGGCAACAGTAGCTTCTGGAGCTTCCAGCCCACAGACTGAGGAGGAATCAAGTGACTGATCAGAGGGGGATTTCAGGGATCTCTTTGCTGAGGCAAGATTCTCTTGCTTTGCCCATGCTTGGATCTCAATCACAGTTCTGGGTGGCAGTCCTGGGGCAAGAAGGAGCACTGGCATGGTGGAGCTTGTGCTGGTGGTGCAGAGTGAATCCTCACAGTTCCAAGGCAGAAAAGAGTGCTTGTGGTCACTCATAGAGCAGAGCACAAGCCAGGAAAGGAACAAACACCTCGCTCTTGATCATACCACCTTGGAAGAACTGAAAACTTACAGGTCCCTAGAAGTGCCTCTGAAAACAGCTGCACAAAACTCCAGAAGCTTGGGACAGTATTTTCTCCACATTGGAAGCAGACCCCTACCTTAAAAAAGAGTTTAAAATTCAAGTAATTGTCTGGGATCGTGAATAATAAACTGCACAAAAAAAGTCAGACCATAGAATCTTTCTTTGGTAACAAAGAAGATCAAAACATATAACCAGAAGACAACGAAATCAAAGCTCCTACATCCACAGCCTCCAAGAAAAATATGAATCAGTCCCAGGCCATAGAAGAGCTCAAAAAGGATTTTGAGAAGCAAGTAAGAGAAGTAGAGGAAAAACTGGGAAGAGAAATGAGAGTGATCCAAGAAAATCATGGAAAATTAGTCAACAGCTTGCTAAAGGAAACCCTCCAAAAAATGCTGAAGAAAATAACACCTTAAAAAATAGCCTAACCCAAATTGCAAAAGAGTTCCAAAAAACCAGTGAGGAGAAGAATGCCTTAAAAAAGCAGAATTGGCGAAATGGAAAAGGAGGTCCAAAAGCTTACTGAAGAAAATTGGAATGGAGCAATTGGAAGCTAGTGACTTTATGAGAAATCAAAACACTGTAAAACAAAACCAAAAGAATGAAAAAATAGAAGACAATGAAATATCTCATTGGAAAAACAACTGACATGCAAAATAGATCCAGGAGAGATAGTTTAAAAATTATTGGACTATCTGAAAGCCATGATCAAAAAAAGAGCCTAGATACCATCTTTCAAGAAATTATCAAGGAAAACTACCCTGATATTCTAGAACCAGAGTGTAAAATAGAAATGGAAATAATCCGCTTCCTGAAAGAGATCCTCAAAGGAAAACTCCTTGGAATATTGTAGTCAAATTCCAGAGTGCCCAGGTCAGGGAGAAAATATTGCAAGCAGCCAGAAGGGAACACTTCAAGTATTGTGGAAACACAGTCAGGATAACACAAGACTTAGCAGCTTCTACATTAAGGGTCCCAGAGGGCTTGGAGTATGATATTCCGAAGGGCAAAGGAGATAGGATTACCACCAAGAATCACCTGTCCAGCAAAACTCAGTATAATCCTTCAGGGGAAAAAATGGTTATTCAGTGAAAGAGGAGACTTTCAAGAGAAACACGAAGAGGTAAACAGGAAAGAGTAATCATAAGGGACTTATTAAGGTTGAACTGTTTACATTCCTACATGGAAAGATGATATTTGTAACTCATGAGACCTTTATCAGTATTAGGGTAGTTGGAAGGGAAAAACAATTATATGTGATAAGTTGATAGAGGGCACAGGGTGAGTTGAAGATGAATGGGTGATACCTGGAGAATGAAATTAAGGGGTAAGAGAGGGTTGTACTGGGAAAAGGAGAAAGGGAGAGGTAGAA